TAGTCTAGACTATAGAATAGACTGTAGTCTAAACTATAGAATATCCTGTAGTCTAGACTATAGAATAGACTGTAGTCTAGATTATAGAATAGGCTGTAGTCTAGACTATAGAATAGGCTGTAGTCTAGACTATAGAATAGACTATATGTAGTCTTGACTATAGAATAGACTATATGTAGTGTTGACTATAGAATAGACTATAGACTATAACTAGAGAATAGATTATAGAATAGACTATTGTCCAGACTATAGATTAGACCATTATCAAGACAATAGATTATACTATAGTCCATACTATAGATTAGACTATTATCCAGACTATAGATTAGTCTATAGTCCAGACTATAGATTAGCCTATAGTCCACACTATAGATTCGTCTATAGTGCAGCCTATAGAATAGACTATAGTCCAGCCTATAGCATAGCCTATAGAATAGACTTTAGTCTAGACTATAGAGTAGACCTTAGTCTAGGTTATGGATTAAGCTTTAGTCTAGACTATAGAATAAACTATATAATAGACCATATTCTAGACTGTAAAATATACCATAGCCTAGACTATAGAATTGAATATAGTTTAGACTATAGAATATACCATAGTCTAGACTGCAGAATAGACCATAGAATGTACTATTGTCTAGACTATAGAATAGACCATAGTTTAGGCTATACAATAGACTAAAGTATAGAGTATAGAATAGACTATATAATAGACCATTGTCTAGACTATAGTATAGACCATAGTCTAGACTATAGTCTAGACTACAGAATAGACTTTAGTCTAGATTATAGATTAGACCATAGTGTAGACTACTGAATAGACCATAGTCCACACTATAGAATAGACTATAATCCAGCCTATACAATAGAATATAGTCTAGCCTGTAGAATAGACTTTAGTCTAAGCTGTAGCATAGACTTTAATCTAGACTATAGAATAGACTTTAGTCTAGATTATAGAATAGACTTTAGTCTAGACTATAGAATAGACTGTAGTCTATACTATAGAATAGACTTTAGTCTAGACTATAGAATAGACAGTATAGTATTTTCTATAGTCTAATTCTTAGCCTATCTGGACTATAGTTCAGACTTTAAAATAGGCTATTCTATAGTCTAAACTACAGAAAACACTATATTATAGATCATAGTCTAGACTATAAAATATACCATAGTCTAGAGTCTAGACTATGAAATTACTTTAGTCTAGACTATAGAATAGACTTTAGTCTAGACTATAGAATAGATTTTACTATAGACTATGGAAAAGATTTTACTATAGTCTTTCTATAGTCTAATTCTTAGCCTATCTAGACTATAGTTTAGACTTTAAGATAGGCTATAGTATAGACTATAGGATAGACTATAGTCAATAATATAATATATTTTACAGTCTATATAGGAAATTCTGTGGTCGACACTCTGTAAGCCAATGTAGTAGGGACGATTAACAACAGTTGTACCAAGCTAATCGATATCGCAAAAGATTGCATTCCTTTACAATTGTAGCATGTAGTTTAATTACATATAATACTAAAACAATAGCATAGTTTCAGGAAACAGTGTATTTCCCCTTTTTAAATACAGTGTGTAAATTTTATGACTTTCGTCTGCGTAAGATTCACACAACATACTTGCACATACTCGTTCATGACTCGAAACAAGGAAAGGAATAATTCTATAAGACCAAACGAGTAAGAGGGGGACAAGAGGAACATCTCATATGAATAGTAAAGTTAACGTCACGAACAAAGTTGTTGTTCTTATTTATAGAAAAGTTCACTGAGCCTTTTGAGTTTTGTTGTTATTTTTCGAATAGAAAACACAAAAATTTTTCTATATATGCTGTTGTGGTTTAGTGGGTTTTCATGTGGTCTGGTAGGATGATGGTGTACATCAGATTTATTTTGCACTGTTTTTTTTTATTATTTGAGACGTTTTTTTTTTTTTTTGGTTTGTTTTATAACTTCCACAAGAGTTTACTCGTTTATGGGTTCTTAAAACTTTTGTCCTGGTTTAAATAAGCATACAAGATGGCAAGTAACTGAATTTGAATATTTTAATGGTAGTGGTGAAGGGTGTTGTTGAGATGAGCTACATATCGGTGATATATAATGAAGATCATAACAAGTCTTAATTACATAATAGCTTCGTATTGTGAACGTCCTAACCAGTGGTATTCTATAACAGCTCTATATGTCGATACTAACCTATAACTCTTCCATATATAGAGCTATAGAGTATAAATCAAAAACCATGAATCCTTCTTTGTCTCAATTCTCCTTTCATCATATTTTACAAATGCTTTGCACAATCAAAATTACCTTTGTAACTATATATGTATTTCAAGTATTTGGAAAAGTAGTAAAAATTCTATCGACATTCTTTTTCACGTGGAATTATTTGTCTGAAGTAAAAACTTTAGTTTTTTGTTTATAAACAACTGCTACAACTATTAAAACAACATAAAATACTCGTACAAAAACTAACTAAGTATGTAGTCAAAGGTTTATAACTAAATAAATGAAAATATGAAAAACTAAATAGAAAATACATTCAAAATACATAAAGAGGGAAAAAGTACATACACCTGCAAATATACATATGCATACAAACACATGTATACTAACCTAAATATGTGTATAGCCACATGTAGGTGAAACATGAAAAATCTAAGAAAATGTAGGGTTTTTGAGTTAAATAAATGTTTTAGGCTAATTATCACTTGTCTGATAACAGTCCAAGATGTTTTTTGCCAAGATAGGGTTTAACTCCAGCCAACTATAGTAACTGATTCGGATAGGGGATGAAACGTATACAAATCGAAGTAGGTATATAGCATCAACATAGATATCATAATGACACACATTTGGCTATAGCTTCCAAATCTTTCTTACAATTATAGGAAGAGGGACCTTGTATTGGAACTATATATGTATCCTGACTCTGCGAAATGGCCCTGACTCTACTGAACTAGATAGAAAAATATTCATATATATATAGAGAATCATATTTGCTACAAACTCCTAAATTACCCAAGGCACTCGTACCAAATAAACCTCCCAAATTACCTAAAATACCCAGACCTAAATTATTCAAGCCGCCCAAATTACCCAAACCTTCCAAAAAACCGAGATTGCCCAAAGGCACTAAAGTATCTAATGTTAAGCTTACGCTAACCCGGCACATTGCTAACTAAAGCTCCCAATATGAGTATACCCTGTTGCTGTTGAGGAGGCTTTTGTGTTCCAGGCGCAGGCTGTACAGCTTGGAGAAGAAAATATTGATTTTCTCTTAGAGCTCACTGGATTCTTTTAACTCCTCATCTTTGATCTTCCTCACGATGGACCACTGGGCATTCACACATATTTGCTACAAACCCCTTTAAAGTACAAATTTCGAAAAAGTACCAGACACTATCTGTTTTTTTTTTAAGAGTAGATACAGATGTATTTATACCCTACACCACTTTAGTGGGGAGGGTATATTGGGTTTGTGGCTAAGCCCACTTTAAAGTATACCAATCACAGAATCTTTTTCTGAGTCGATTTAGCTATGTCCGTCCATGTAAACCTTGTAATCAAACTACAGGTCGTAATTTTGAAGATAATTCAATGAAATTTGGTACATGGTCTTCTATTCTTCTCCAGGGACGAAGCCTATTGAAAATAGTTAACATCGGTCCATTATTTCACCTAGCCCCCATATAACTGAACCCACCGAATAGGCCTTTTAAGTTCATAATTATGTTTAATATACTCCTATCTCGACAAAATGCTGTCAAACTAAGTTCTATACTAGCCTTAATAACCCTCGTGAATTTTATAATTACAGGGTCTCATTTGACCCTAACCCCTATAAAAAGCCCCCTTTAAAATTTTACTTAAATGTCCACAATTTTATTCAACAATAAATGGTTTAAGTATATCTGAGACAAGTTACAACTCAACTTAAATGCTTTATTATGAAAACTAAATCACATTTTATTTTTGTAACAGGTGTAGGGTCGGCCTCGCCCGACTTTAATTTATTACTTGTTTTCCACTTTAGTGGATCTGCATAACCAAGAAGACTGTGTGTTTATTACATAATTGACAGATCCTCTTCATATTCTTGGCCCTAGCTCTTTTCTCCTCTAGTTTATTAAAGTATTTCAAAACTTTTAATAAGAACCCTATACGTGCACTAAAAGTTAGTAAATACGAATGGTAACCAAAAACTAATAATAGACATAGAAGCGACAAGGACAAATAAAAAGATTATAAAGCAAGAAAAACAAATCATAAAGGATGTTTGTTATAAAGTTCAGATGACTACAACCGTAAGTTTAGACAGACGAAAAAGAAAACAAAATGTTAAAATTTAATAAAAAATAATGTTTTTAATAAAAAATGTTGTCACTGATTGAACTAAAAAATTCCCTATAAATTGCTAAAAATATGGAAGAAATTATTAAGGTTCTACAACTACTGTGTACAGTCAGCATTACTTAGAAGCAGTTTTGTAATTACGGAATAATCACAGCTTATTTTTTAGCTGTAGAATCACCTAAGCATACGCACGTATAACTTGAATTAAGATAATCAACATAATTCTCATTTAGTTAAGACAGATAACTAGTTCCAACCCCTCCTTTAATTAAACCTTCTTCAGTTACCCCATTAAATACATAATACAGATTACTTAACCTACCAAACATACCAACATTTCCCTTAGTAAACCACAAGAAAAAAATAACAAAAATATTATTCATATACAAAAAAAAAAAAAAATTAACTCATTTAGATAAGAATTTTAGAAAGAGGGAGATTAACTTTTTATTTACATTAACATTAAATCTAAGTTCTGCTATAGTTTTGTAATTATCTTTATTTTGCAGAAAAAAACAACAACAACTTTTGTTAATAAGTTTCAGTTGCCACAAGAAGAAATAAAACTCATAAACTTTACATGTTTCCTTTCCTTTTTACTTGACTTGCAGTAATTTGCTTAAAACAACTCTATACGGTGGCTGTCGATGCATCTAAATCGTTTTGGGGAGGTTCTGTTGTAACATCAGCTAATTAAATAAAATTACAGGGAATAAACAACAACAATAACAAGATTAATACAATGCAGACTAATCTTAAAGTAATTAGTCTAATGACTTGACTAGAGTTTAGAAGAACTTAGGAGTTGCAAGAAGTAAGTACTTAAATAAGTACTTACTATAAGCAGTTAATTAAATTGAGTTGATTGTATTTTACTGCACTTACCTTTGACTGTATAGTCCAAGTCATTAATGGTATAATAAATGGTTAAGTATTTCTTATCCTCCAGCTTTAGCGTATAATATCCTTGTATAACTTTAGAGTTTTGATTGTTGGCAAGTTTTTCAATGCCGGAACGTTGATAGAGTAAGATGCCATTACTTAAGCGAGCACTAAAAGACAGAATGAATATAAATGTTAAAGTTTGAACTATAAATATAAATTGTCAAGAAGTTATAAATCATTGAATAGAAGCCTATGCACTAGCCATTATGCGGAAAATAATTAAATTGATTGATTAAATCATATTTCGTATTATATACGAAATTTTCGTATATATTACGAAACAAGTAGTTATGTTTTTTTTTCGTAAAATTAATCATGGATTATTTTTTTGTGACGATGAGTTTATAGACTGAACTATAAACTAGCTAGTATGTAATCTAGTCAATAGCCTGTAGACTAAATAACAGATAAAAATTTGAAAAGTAATTTTTAATTAAAAAAAGTACTTTTTTTTAGGAAAATGCTTAAATTTCTAACAGGCATAGGGGGTAATGATTACACAAAGTAATTCATTACATGGTCAATTACAATTACTTGTAATGTGTAATTGAGCAATTGCCAATTTCAATTAGTTGTAATTGTAGTTGAAGTTTTTTCAATTACAATTACTTGTAATGTGTAATTGATAATCAATTAAAAATCAAAATTACTTGTAATCATAATAAAGATATTACTAACTACAAATTACATATAATTATAAGAAACAAAATTCACAATTACAAGTAATTGTAATTGACAAAACTTCAATTACCCTTACAAGTAATTGTAATTGTCAAAACTTCAATTACAAATAATTGTAATTGGCAAAACTTTAATTACAGGTAATTGTAATTGGTTATGCTCCAATTACAATTACTTCAAATGTAATTTTAATTGAAAATGTAGTCATTACCCCCAAGCCTGATTTCTAACTCCATTATTGATAGTTTTTTTCTTACCTTATTTCTTTATCTCCATTTAAATTTAATTTCATATTTTGTTGTAAAATCTCCAAACCATTTGATCGTGCAGCTGCTGGTGGGGGTGCAACAGGTAAGGGTATGATATTTTCACAACGACAATTTAAAGTTTGCGTTAGAGGACAACGATTAAGACCCGGGAAAAGTCCACCTAAGCCGGGTAAACCACCCAAGCCACCAGGACCACCTAAACCACCCAAACCTCCTAAATTACCCAAGCCACCGGGACCACCTAAACCTCCCAAATTACCTAAATTACCCAGACCTAAATTATTCAAGCCGCCCAAATTGCCCAAGCCACCCAAATTACCCAAACCTCCCAAACCACCAAGATTACCCAAAGGTACTAAAGTAGTTAAAGTTGAGCTTAAACCATTCAAACCCGGTACATTGCTAACTAAAGCACCCAATATGGGTAAGCCCTGTTGCTGTTGAGGAGGCTGTTGTGTTCCAGGTGCAGGCTGTACAGCTTGGTGAGTCATGACATCATAATAAGGAGAAGAAAATATTGATTCCCTCTTAGAGCGTTCCGGATCTTTTAACTCCTTATCTTCAATCTTCCTCACAATGGAACACTGGGCATTCACCAGCAGCATTGCCAAACCAGTAAATACAAATTTAATGTTAACTAACATTTTCCTAAAGAGTTTAAAATTACACTAATTTGTTTTTATCTTAACAACATCATTTTATATGCATTCCTTAAAAGAGATTTTCTTTACCTTAAAAGAAAATAATCTGAAAGCTAAAAGAATACCAAATATGTAGGACACTTGCTGTTTTTATGATGTGATTTTTACAACATTTTTATGTTTTCTTGTTTTTAGTTCAGAACTCTGTTCTTTTCAGTTTATTTGATTTCGATTTTTATTACTTTTCTCTTCTTTGTTTTAACGAGACTTTTATGTTCTGAAATCCATATTTAATTAAATCTTATTATTGCATTTCAATGCATTGTGATCTGATTGTATTGTATATTGGCATAATAAAATGTTTCAGTTTATTTCGTATTACTTTTGGCACATAAACCTGGAAAGATTCCTGCTGCACCCTCATATGTGTTCATTATTTTTTAGTTGTAAACATTTCAAGCTGTTTTTTCCGGAAGAAAAAACCTATATTATTCATGGTCATATGCATGGATGATTGGTTTTTGATGTGTTTTCACCAATAATTTCCTTTGTTTTAGTTAGGAAGTGGAAAACAAATTGCATGAGAAAGTAGTAGTATTCAAATGATCTATATAGTGGAGTAAACACAATGGGATTTTAATTGGAAAATATTGGTTGGACTTAAATTCAAGACAAATATCTGATTTAGTTGGTATTTATTTATATTCTAGACCTTGTCTAGAGGATATATCAGTCCTTAAACCAATATTATTTCCCCGCGAATGTGAGTTAAAAACACAGCCACTACGTGGATCCCGAAGGAACCTCAACTAACTGACCAGCTAGGGTAAGTCCTGCGGTCAACTTGCCACCCGTAGTGCATGAATATATGGTGCTCTAGTTCGACCGCATGATCATCACCAGTTTATAGTCCCGGCAGACTAGAGGTATTGGTAGCACCTCTTTTCCTCTGGATATTGCAATAACACCAAGATGGAGATTTCACCAAGGTGACATGCCCCTGGGGGGTAACCTAGAGACTTTTCTATAGGATTCATGTCCTTTGTTTGCGAAATCTGTTATGTCATTAGTCGAAACACGAATCCATCAAATAAGCCGAGCACTTGTTCTTACTCACAGAGAACACACTGTGGTAAATCTATTATGAACAGATTAAACCCTGAACATACCTAGACAAGGAAGGAAAATTCAATGGTATCACTAGTAATAGATATCTTTCATCCATCACCATTCAACCCAGCACTCTTCTCATTTATTCGGAACACTCATAGAAAACAACATCCGACATAAACACTGGATAGGTAATTTTCGTATACCCTACAGCCATCCTTATCATATACACTTGACACCAACTCATTTCCAACGCTTAGTGTCAAAGTCACTCCTCTGAAGTATCTGTTGTCTTAGCAACAGCACCGAATTGAAGACTTTACCGTGCATCAGTCTTTTAACCGATATTCTCTTTCTGCGAATATAAAAATCTCCATTTTGATTCTATTAAGATTTCGATCGATATCGTATGCCATAATTTGGGCCCAGGGTTTGTCTCATACACACGCCAAAAGTGATGTAGAACATAGACATAGAAAATTAGGAAAGACAGCAATACACTTAACTCGTATTTATTTTTAGCAATTATTTCCAGTGACACATTTTTTTAAAAAGGTGATTAATTACTGGAGATATCGAAAGTATATTACTTATACATGCCCAGCAAAAACTTACATTGAACGGAAAGGGTTAAAATGCTTAAATAACACAATTTATTTTTTCATTTGCGTTACAAAATAATTTCTAAAACAATATGTTAAAAAGTAAGTACTTACATAATATATTATTTGTAAGTGATTTCTGGACAGCTTCTAAGTAATACAGACGTTATATAGAAGTCAAAGGTAAGTTGTTGAGTAATTACAAATCATTACTGTGTTTTTGCTGGGTATATAAAATAAGTATGTTTTATATAAATAGTTAAACTATAAAAATTACAGTAGTAGATAATAAATTATAGTTTATAGATTAAAGTAGAAAAAATAATCATACTTATTTGATCAAAAAATAATCTTTATGGGAATAAAGCTTTTAAAATATAGTGTGGTATTTATTAAATTTTTATAAAGTGGTATATTTAGTGAGCCACTGTGCTTCACATTCTCTTTAAGTTGTAAACTTTTTTGTTCTTTCTGATGAGTTTTTTCTTTTATTTTTATGATACTACCGATTTCTGTAGCAATAAATTATAATTTTTGTTTTGGAAATACTTTGCATAAAATGTTGTTTAAGTCGCTACAGTATTATGTAGGCATAAATCAGTTTATTGTTTAAAATGTAACAAATCTTTAAGAGATCTATAATTGTCTCCTACAAAATTATAAATACATATATGTATACGAAAAAAAAGATTTTACAAAAGATTTTCATACTTTCGTAATATTAGACAAGGAAATGTTTACATAATATTTCTTATTATACATGAAATTTTCGTAAATATAACGATATATTTGTAAAGTTAATTATGGCTTATTTTCAGTGTACTTGTTTCAATTTTATATGTTGTTTACAAATATAGTTAAATGCCATCGTTTCAATAAAGGATACAAAAAGGATTATTTTCTCTTAACAATAAATATTTGCTATATATGTATAGCGTTAGTATATTTCGTCTGAAATTCTCTGAAAAACAAACCAAAAAAACTTTAATTTAGTTTTGTAATGAATTCTTTGAAAAATAATAAAAACAACAACCATATGATGGCTATAATAACAACTTTATAAGACAACAGGAAAATAAAGCAATAAGAAACCTTTTAGAGTATAAAGAAAACAACAACAGCGGTTTTAAGAAACAACAAATTTTATTAAACATTTCTGAAAAAAAAGGGATAAAGAAGTTGCTTTTTAGCATAAAGTGGGTCAAAACACTAAAAAGATTTAAAATTCATTTTATAACAAACTGCCTACGAAAACAGAAAAATATGGTAAGAACGAAATGTCTACTTATATATGGCTGGCAAGTGCTAACAAAGCTTTTAAGATTTGATAAACAAACACGAAAAAATATTGAGAAAAAAACAAGGAAAAAAATCCCAAGAAAAACAGAAAAAGTTATTTGCGACAACAAAAACAGCAGCTACAAAATGTAACAGCAACAACAACAACAACAGTTGTAAAAGAAAAAAATATCAAAACAGCAAACGACAGCAGCAGCAAAATCAAAAGCAACAGCAACCATATTGGGCCAATATTTGCTGTAGTCAAAAGGCAATATAAATACCTGCACAGCCATAAACTATGGACTTTCTGCAAAAAGTTTTCAACATTTGCATACAACACATCACATCAAACACACTCAGCACGGGGGCCACAAACAACTCAGGAATCAAGAATCCATAATAAATACGAAAGCACAAACAAACAAACAACACACGGTTCAAAAACTTTTTCAACCCACACAACACCTCCTAACCCAATCTTAACAGACAAATTACTTTAGCATCAACGTTAACAGTAGCAATAGAGTGACAGCAGGGTAAGCGGATAGCAGCAGCCAGTAGCAGCAGCAATATGAAAAGTTTAGTTTTCAAATCTCTAATGCTGATAATGGTTTTACAAGATGTTACAAACAGTTTTAGCTAAACCAACAACTAAGGTATGATTGACTGAACGAATGAGTGAACATTTAGATTTGTTGAATAGTTTTTGGCTTAAGACCATAGAGTGTGTTTAAGAAGAATATTGTTTTTTTTTTCTTTTCTACAAATATCAATCAAAATTATATGGATTTAAGTAAACAAATCTATAAAGTTGTGGTTTAGGGAAAAAGTGATTTCATTTTGAATAAAGAAAATACTCCTAGTGATTGTGTGCCTTTGTATGTTAGTTAGTAGTGGTCTAGTCTGTCAATACAAAGATCGTGGGTTCGATTGCCACTAGAGACAAAAATATTTAAAAGAAAAGCTCAAAACGTCTTATAGTGGTCGAGTTGTATTTCTTCGTATCTGATGTAACATACATCCTTGTTTCAATTTAACTAATTACCTAATACTAGTGATTACAATTTGAGTTTAAAAATGACCAGTGAAGTAACTAGTGACTTTTAAAGTGAAACAGAAACTTTCAATGACTACTACTTACCATCTGCATTACTTAGAATAGGTCTAGTAATAACTTACAAATAATATATTATGTAAGTACTTACTTTAAGCCTTATGGCATATGGTTCTCGAACTCTGTTTTTATCACAAAAGAAAAAAATTTTCATTTTTGAGAAAACTAATAATAGACGCAGTGGACGTACTTTCTCAGAGACAAAACTACTTACTTAACCCCCTATTTGTAAGCCAGCGTGGTAAATACTTACCTCCAATGTCTAAATTCTACAAAGCTGCAAAATCTATAAAAAAAAAAACTATTGTTTTGATTTTATTTGCAAATCCGAAATCAACTTTTCCCCCCACCCAAACACTAGCTAGTGTATTAACTAAATGTTTCTTCTATTGTTTTCTATTCGCAGGCACCCATCATGAATGTTGACAAGACACAACCACTCTACGAATTACAATTGGCCGTTTGGCCAACAGATGTTGATGATATTATTGAAGCGGTTATGCCACCAAACAATGAAATTCCCCTGCACACGTTAATAGAACAGCCAGTGGTTGTTATGCCTGACATGGACGACTATACACAAAATGATGATGATAATGATGATAATGGAATAATCACTGATAATTTTGCCGATGATGATGAAGACCTTGATGTTGTTTATGATCCCACTAGTGATTTGTGGCCAATAATTACGGGTGAACCAGAGGCCAGCAAACCAACAGACGAAGTAATTGTATTGGAAAATTATCATCATAAATATGGCAATGGTAGTGAGGAATATAAGTAAGAGTTTAGAAAAAGATTTTAAAACATCCCACTGACAGACTAGGGGTAAAATTGATTGATTGTCTATTGGAATGTATTTGTTTTTTTGTTTTGTTTACAGGTTAGTGTTAAGTAATGGCATGGTCAATTATCAACGCATAGATCATGTCTTGGTGAAAGGTGTTTGGAGGCCAGTACAACAGGGTTATTATACTGTACCCTCGATGGCGGGTACAAGAGAATCATATCAGACAACTTATTATCGTGCCGATACAAATGGTTATAATGTTTATAAAAGTATGTTGTTAGTTGTTGTTATTGTTGGAAAATTATTTATTTCTTTGTTGTTTGTTTTTCAGCTGAAAGAACTCCCCGTAATCCTGCTTATGATGTTTATTTGCAATATGCCAAGGAACAAGATGCCAAACTGCAAGGAAATTGATTATTTCTTCTTTTTAAATAGAAACAAATTATAGAAAAAATATAAAGAAATAAATAAAGTCTATTTAATTTATAATATATTTAGAACAAGAAATTTTTTGTTACAAACTTTTATTTAAATGGAAAGTAATTCGAAAAATTTTAAAGTTTTGCAGAATGATGTGCATATCTACAAAATATATTAATGCAGAATTGTATTCGATATCATTATTAATTCATGAGTTGTGGCCTCTGGTTACTGGTTAGTGTTCTAGTGTGGTAGACCGGAGGTAGTGGGTTCGATTCCCACCTGAGGCACTGGTTAAGAGTGCACAACGGCCCGATAGAGGCCTTAGGGGATTTCTTCGTATTTGATTTATACATCTAACTAACTAACTAACTAACTAACTAACTAACTAACTAACTAACTAACTAACTAACTAACTAACTAACTAACTAACTAACTAACTAACTAACTAACTAACTAACTAACTAACTAACTAACTAACTAACTAACTAACTACTAACTAACTAACTAACTAACTAACTAACTAACTACTAACTAACTAACTAACTAACTAATAACTAACTAACTAACTAACTAACTAACTAACTAACTAACTAACTAACTAACTAACTAACTAACTAACTAACTAACTAACTAACTAACTAACTAACTACTAACTAACTAACTAACTAACTAACTAACTACTAACTAACTAACTAACTAACTAACTAACTAACTAACTAACTAACTAACTAACTAACTAACTAACTAACTAACTAACTACTAACTAACTAACTACTACTAACTAACTAACTAACTAACTAACTAACTAACTAACTAACTAACTAACTAACTAACTAACTAACTAACTAACTAACTAACTAACTAACTAACTAACTAACTAACTAACTAACTACTAACTAACTAACTAACTAACTAACTAACTAACTAACTAACTAACTAACTAACTAACTAACTAACTAACTAACTAACTAACTAACTAACTAACTAACTAACTACTAACTAACTAACTAACTAACTAACTAACTAACTAACTACTAACTAACTAACTAACTACTAACTAACTAACTAACTAACTAACTAACTAACTAACTAACTAACTAACTAACTAACTAACTAACTAACTAACTACTAACTAACTACTAACTACTAACTACTAACTAACTAAACTAACTAACTACTAACTAACTAACTAACTAACTAACTAACTAACTAACTAACTAACTAACTAACTAACTAACTAACTAACTAACTAACTAACTAACTAACTAACTAACTAACTAACTAACTAACTAACTAACTAACTAACTAACTAACTAACTAACTAACTAACTAACTACACTAACTAACTAACTAACACTAACTAACTAACTAACTAACTAACTAACTAACTAACTAACTAACGAACTAACTAACTAACTAACTACTAACTAACTAACTAACTAACTAACTAACTAACTAACTAACTAACTAACTAACTAACTACTACTAACTAACTAACTAACTAACTAACTAACTAACTAACTAACTAACTAACTAACTAACTAACTAACTACTAACTAACTAACTAACTAACTAACTAACTAACTAACTAACTAACTAACTAACTACTAACTAACTACTAACTAACTAACTAACTAACTAACTAACTAACTAACTAACTAACGAACTAAATAACTAACTACTACTAACTAACTAACTAACTAACTAATACTAACTAACTAACTAACTAACTAACTAACTAACTAACTAACGAACTAACTAACTAACTAACTAACTAACTAACTAACTAACTAACTAACTAACTAACTAACTAACTACTAAACTAACTAACTAACTAACTACTAACTAACTAACTAACTAACTAACTAACTTAACTAACTACTAACTACTAACTAACTAACTAACTAACTAACTAAACTACTAACTAACTAACTAACTAACTAACTAACTAACTAACTAACTAACTAACTAACTACTAACTAACTAACTAACTACTAACTAACTACTAACTAACTAACTAACTAACTAACTAACTACTAACTAACTAACTAACTAACTACTAACTAACTAACTAACTAACTAACTAACTAACTAACTAACTAACTACTAACTACTACTAACTACTACTAACTAACTAACTACTAACTAACTAACTAACTAACTAACTAACTAACTACTAACTAACTAACTAACTAACTAACTAACTAACTAACTAACTAACTAACTAACTAACTAACTAACTAACTAACTAACGAACTAACTAACTAACTAACTAACTAACTAACTAACTCTAACTAACTAACTAACTACTAACTAACTAACTAACTAACTACTACTAACTAACTAACTAACTAACTAACTAACTAACTAACTAACTAACTAACTAACTAACTAACGAACTACCTAACTAACTACTAACTAACTAACTAACTAACTAACTAACTAACTTAACTAACTAACTAACTAACTAACTAACTAACTACTAACTAACTACTAACTAACTAACTAACTAACTACTAACT